TTTTCCATCCCTGTCTTTGGGCAGCCTGGTGTGGGCACAGCCCTGGGCTGGAGCACCATGCCTGGCTCCTGGCCTTCCCTCCAGCTCCCTCTCACTGTGTTGCACCAGGCTCCGTGCTGGTCACAGCCTGGTTACAGCCAAAGCAGCCTGGTGGCTGCCTCTGTAAGTGTGAGACACCCTGGTGCAGTCGTCCAAAAATGGCAGGCGTAATGAAGCCGTGCAAAATGATGATTTTTGGTGATTTAGTATCACCTGGAGAAAATGGCCAGGAAGCCCAAGATGAGTACAAAAGATAGAGGGAGCCAGTATAATTACCTAGCTTAATCTCTTTCATAAAGCAGACCATAGCACCTCCAGTTTAGTTCTTATGTAACAGAGATCAATATTTGAACTAGATCAACACTTGCTCCATTTAGGTCTGAATCATTCTTTCTCTTTAATCACTCTAGCAATGTAATGTGTTCCTAGTCCTTTACTAAGGCTTCACTTGGTGTTTTCCTGCTGTAGAAGTGAAGAAAAAAGAGCTTTATTGTTTGTTCTAATTAAGGCATCATTTTGTAGAGCATAAGCTAGTTGCAGTCTGACTCCAAAGAAATAAAGAAAATATGAGTGAAAAATTTTTCTTTGTGCAGAAAAAGTCATCTTATATTTTGATAGTTTCTTCTTCTGTTGTCTTTGTTTTAAAACACCAAACTGCTTCTCCCAGTGCTTTCTGAATCACATAAAACATTCTTAATAATCTTTGCTGTTTCTTTTTCCCTTAGATGCTATTTAAAGTAATATACAAAAACCTGAAATTGCGGCACTGCCTGTGATTAAGACTCACAGAAATGTTTTTTACTTGCTCCAAATGGTCTTGGATTTAAATAAAAGTACACTAGAGAAAAACAAAGCACTTAAAAATGACACATTTCCTCTCCCTCAGTAACTTTCCACCTTCTAAAATCTTAAATAAGGAAAGTTTGTTCTTTAGCATTAACTTGCGTGGAAAACTAATTACCACAGCAGGGTGAGTATGCAACTATGCTTGTCGTTTCTTCAGGCAAATCGGACTGAGCAGATTACATATATGTATACATGGATGTATCTCGATATAGATTGTATAGCAGAAGTACTCTTCTGCAGAGTACTGCAGAAGTATGGTGTGCATTTTTCTGTGTTTCCTCAGAAGAGAGCAACTTTTCTGCTTTTGGATGAGTCTGTGTGGAAGACTGAATTCTCACCTCTGTGCTCTGCTATGAAGTTATTAAAATATGTTACTAATAACTTCTCTTATTTTTTCCTATTTCCTTTTTATTTTTTTCATCTGCTCCACTTTTCATTTTTATTCTAAATACCTGGTGCCCAGCTTCTGTGCTCTCACTCTTTCAGGAACTTCAGTTTCTCTGTCTCATCTTTGAAGTCAACCTTCCTGTCCGTTTTGTGAATTCCATTGCATTTCCTCTTTTGTTTTCTTTTCATTCTCTTCATCTCAGTGATAATCCGCCTAATTTTGTTTTTCTTTCTTTCTGATGATGGCTAGTTGAGCCTTTCACTCTATCTGCCTTTTCAGTGCTTATTCAGAAGCTTCTCTCCCATTTCAGCTCCTTTTTTTCTGTTTGTTAGCGATTTCCTTTCTCTGCCTCCTAGGTGCAAGAGGGAGCTTTTTCACTTTCAGGAACAGAAAACAAGTACCAAGTCTACTCAAAAGACCCTGAGCAAGGCAAGAAAAGTAATAATTATTGGCAGCTTTCTAGCATCAGCCAATATTAAGATAGGCAGTCTCATATAGAAATGAGAATGTAACTTAGGACTTCTCTGCAATACCACAATACTTTGAGCAGTGGGAGCAGAAAATAACCTTTCCTTGCCAAAGAACCATTTGCTGGTTGCTTGGTACCTATTTAGATGAGAAAGAGAACAGGCTTTTCTTCATCCCTTAGAAAAACAAGCAGTTTGGGTGATATCCCTTTTTAGCATTTATCCTATCATACAGCAATATTTAAAGCGATAACGTGAGACGACTACTCTTGGTTAGAATCAGCAGAATTCACTGATTCCAAATGCCAGTTGCACATATCACTTAGTTCACAGTTTGCAGAGCTATTATCAGATATTATTTTCAGATTCAGACAATAGTTGCTTTTATTTTCCTGCTTTTTTTAAAAAAAATAAGAAAGCTGTTTGTAAAACAAGAGGGTTTTTTAAACTTTTAAGCTGGATTTCTGATGCCAAGTGCATAGATGGTAGTACCATAGTAGATAGTAGCATCAGGAGCACTTGTCTTTTTCTGTGCTCAGTGGGAGTCATAGCCAAACTGTTGCTTACTCTAACCAGCAGGCATGGAAGCCTCCAAGTCATTACAAAATTCAAGACTCTTTTCCTCCCATCCCTTCTGGCTTCCATTACTGCTATGCATTCTTCAACATTTTCAGTTTTCTGGGAGCCCTAAAGAAGTGTATTCATCTCAGTTCCTTCTCACCCTGTCTGAATCCAGTGCCTTTACAATTAGCTGTGGAGTTCATGCATGATGCAGTGTTTCAGGTATAATAAAATAATACTATGGCAATCTGAGAAGGTGAGAGAGAGGCAGTACAGTGATGAAAGGAGAGTGTTGTTCTATTTCCATTGCTCATAAATAATTCTTAGATAAAATATTCTTAATGAAATCATATTCCCACTGAATTCAATTTAAGTTTAGCAATTGACTTCAAAGATGTAACATCTTACTCTTCATTCACTCTATCTTTAACCAATAATTCTGGAATTAATTCTGCTTTAAACAATAATTATATAAAATTATATAATTTATGTATGACCTTAGCTTATTCCAGATGAAAGAAAAAAGGAAGAAAAAAAGACTATGTAGTCTGTATCTCAGGAGAGAGATGTGATTCTGTTGGGAGCAAGGTCAAAGGGAATTGCTCTATTGCTCTTTGTCAAGAGTCAGTGTTCACTTCTGCCTAGAGACACTTCTATTTCCACCTTATTATATAATGACAATTCCTTGGGGAATCCTGAGGGATGGTCAGAAGATACCATAAGTCTCTCCTAGGAGCAGCAAAAGGAAGCAGTTTTACTACTTTTTCTTTTTTATGGAAAATAAGATTTTGCTGGAGGAAACTGCTTTCTGCGTCCTGGGTGCCTAGTGATACTTTTTTTTTCACATTATTTTTTCCAAGTTCCACTGCATTTATTTTGAAAGGATGTAATTTCTCAGGGAAAGGTAGTTATTGCTTCAATCATATCATGACAATGCCTCTTAAAGGTATAATAGGTATAATAACCTTCTTCTCTGATGGCAGACTGAAGAACCCACCAAACTTTGGTTCTAATGCTTAAAAATCTGTGGAATTATCTGAATTTAAGAGGATTGGGTTAGAGAACATTTAGACAAATGTGACAGGTACAAGTCCATGGTCCCTGATAGGATGCACCAACAAGTGCTGAGGGGAGCCCACAGATATCATTGCTAGGCCACTCACAATGATCTTTGAAAGGACATGGAGAATGGGTACCTGAAGACTGGAAGAAAGCTAATGTCACTCCAGCTTTCAAAAAGGACCTAGACAATTATAGCTTCCTGGAAAGGTGATGAAACAGCTCATTCTGGATGCCATCTCTAAGCATGTGAAGGATCAGAAGGTGATCAGCAGTAGCCAGAATGGCTTCACCGAGGGGAAATCATGCTTAACCAACCTTATAGCCTTCTGTGAGGAAATGACTGGCTGGGCAGACAAGGGGAGAGAAGTGGATGTTTTCTATCTTGACTTCAGTAAGACTTTCAACACTGTCTCCAAAAGCATAGGGAGGCATAGGCAGGTGGGGAAGCATGGGCTAGATGAGCGAACAGTGAGGTGGACTGAAAGATGGCTGAATAGCAGAGCTCAGAGGATTGTGATCTGTGGCACAAAGTCAAGTTGGACGCCTGTAGCTAGTGGTGTAACCTAGGGATCAGTACTGGGTCCAGTCTTCTTCATCAATGACCTGAATGAAAGGAAGCGTGCACCCTCAACAGTTTTGCTGATGATAAAAGCTGGGAGGAGTGGCTGGTGCACTGGGGGGCTGTGCTGCCATTCAGAGGGACCTCAACAGACTGGACAGGTGGACAGTTGTCCTGCCCAGGAAGTTCAACAAGACTTCCTCACTGTGAGGATGACTGAGCATTGGAACAGGTTGCCCAAAGAGGTTGTGAAGTCTCCTGAGTCTCCTTCCTTGGACATATTCAAAAGCTGGGTTTTATTTTATTTTGTTTTAAGTTGGAAAAGCATTTGTAACTCTTCGGTCCTGCTCTTATGTAGACATGCTCAGAGTTAGCTCTATAAATGCAAATAGGTTTGGTGGGAAACACCCCATACCTGTAGCACTTAAGAAGGTGCTTTGTAGGAATTGTAGCAGTCTTGGGAAGATAGTAGTGCTTCCCAGATTGAAAGGTCTACTGTGTATGCATTTCTTCGAAGGACAAGAGTGTATGCCTCTATGTTTAATTATATTAATTCAACTCTGGGATGAGAATTTTCCTGTTGATTTCAGTGTCTCCACAGCCAAATATGATGTACATTTATGTTATCACTGCAGTTTCAGTGGTGTTTGCAGCAACGTCAGAAAGATGTTATAATATTTAAAAACACATAAACTTTCTATTAGGATCTATTAGATCTACTGCAGACCAATCTTATCCATATTCTTTTCCATGTGGCAGCCAGTGTAATTCCTATTAATTTTTTATCTTTCTGTCACTATTTTTGAAATGCAAGGAGAATAATAAATAACCTGTGACAATCACCTAAGAAACATTTGACCTTATTAAAACAAATCATTACTAGACTATTGTTTCAATCACTTCACTAGAAACAGAGATGAAAATTTAACGAGAAGACTGAATATTAGGCAAAAGAAAATGAAAACAGAAAAATCCAATAAGTGCATAAAAATGACTTTAAGGAAAAAGCCATCATTGACTATCATAAAATGAATTTATTTGCTGACTATTCTTATCATTTTGTTTCTTTCCCAATTAGGAGATTGTGAACTTCAACTGTCGCAAGCTAGTAGCTACAATGCCTCTCTTTGCTAATGCAGACCCAAATTTTGTGACTGCCATGCTGAGCAAGCTGCGATTTGAGGTGTTCCAGCCTGGTGATTATATTATTCGAGAAGGGGCTGTGGGTAAAAAGATGTATTTCATTCAGCATGGTGTCGCTGGAGTCATCACCAAATCCAACAAGGAGTTGAAGCTGACAGATGGCTCCTACTTTGGAGGTAAGTAGGAAGAAAATGAATGATAACATTGAAGTGAATGCACTAGAATAAAACATGCTCAAATATCAGGCATATAGAGACATCAGAATAAGTCTGCTGAATATCTGTTGCCCAGGTAATTCCAAAGGCAGGGAAGAGTGTATTAAGCATCTCTGAATAATACATTTAGAGTCTGCTTGCTATTGAAAGGATAGCTATTGAAGATACAGACAACCTTTCTGAAATATTGTCTTCAGTTAAATTGTCCTGAATTTTAGAGCAACTTTGAGTTAAGATTGCTATTATTTAACAGACTGCATTTTGCTAAAAATATAATAAGTTGCACAGTAATTTTGCAACTATTTAAATGTAAAATAAACAGGATTCATCTTTAAAAATGGATAACAGTTTTTAGTCATGAATATAAAGTATATAAAATAAAAGAATTATAAAAATAGAAGATGGATAAAAGATTATTTATATGGGATATTTTGATATTCTTCATGAATATTTCAGGCTATTTTTAGTGCATTTATGCTGATTTTGGCATGGAGCATTGATTAGCCTTCTGGTATAAGAAAGTATAAGAACTTTCACTCCCTCTTTGACTAGATCCCACTTTGACACAGGTGTAATAATGAGAAGCAGACATGAATTTTAGCACAAATTAAATTAATCCTAATGAATTTCATCCCAATGAAAAATAGATTTTCATTTAGAAGAAGGTATCTGAATATTCATATTTGGATTTTTTTTTTACATATAGCAATTGACCAATATGAAAATCATGTTCCTGTCGTTGTAAAATCTCTTTGTGAAACAGAGTAGGTGTCTGCATCTTGGTGCAGCAGCACCAAGGTGTAGCAGCAAGGCTGGCTTCCAGAAGCTGATGGAACATTTGTGTGTATGGCCCATGACAGTTACAGTTAGCTAATTTTTTTTTTTGTTAATTTTTTGTTGAATAGCATGAATCAATTGAGAATTGAGTCTAAAGCCTTTTAGAAAATTGAAAGCCTAATCAGCGGCATTTAACTGGTACACTGAAGAGCTTAGAAAAGTGAATTGGGCTCAGTTAGTGTTTGAATTGGGCTGTAGAGTTACTCAACTAATCCCATTTTAGAATAATATACTGAAAAAACCTCCTGGTGATCTGGCCAGTGGGCCTTGTCACTCCGTAGTAGCCTTTGCAAGATGATTTGTACCAGTATTTGTAGAAGCATTTTGATAAAGGAGACCTGTGCTTATCCCACGAACTGAAACTGTAGATGCTGGAGAGAGGAGATTAAGGAGAAAGAGAAGGCATATGCTGAGGATGAAGAAACAGAGCAATCTTGGTCTTCGTTCCATCTATGCTTAGCAGTGCCTCAGTTTATCAAAATAAGTTTGCCAGTGCCTGTGTTCTGAATCTGGCTATAATACTCTTCTGAACCAGCAGAGGATCAGAGGATATTGGCACATGAAGGTATTTTACATAACTGTCAGCCTGTTACAGTCCAAATGACTGCTCAGCTCATCTGCTACCCTTCTTAACCAAATGCATACAAAAAATAAGCCATTTGCAATATCCTGACACCGCAAGAACTTATTACATCATGTACCAAAGGAGCTTTGCTCATGCAAACCATAGGGATACAGGGTGTAAAAATGAGGACAAATGCATCTAAAAAGTGTCTAAAATGTCACAGCAGAAAAGAGAAGAAACAAGTTATACATCTGATAGCTGCTAATTGGAAAGATTCAGTTTATCAAGGAGAAAAAAAAGTGCTTAAAAAAAAAATCTCTTTAAAGAACCACGTATCAGAGTCTACGGGGAGCTTCCTGACTGGATTAGCCAAGGATGTGTCTAAAGAGCATCATCAGTACCAGCCAAAGTGCTGTGTACCAGCCAGTTGACTTTGAGGGAAGCACAGGGTGATGCCTCCAGACAGCTTTCCAGAGGTCAGGGCTTGACTGCCACCAGCCCCTTTCCTCATTGGGGCTCACTGACTTCCCTCCTGGGGATGGAAGGAGTAAGTACAAGGCAACAGCCACGGAACCATTATGGTTAGTTCCTTGGGAAGAGTGTCGCTTAACCTGTATTCACAAACCTGCTCTTGAACTTTAGATGCAGGAGCATTTTCAGCCCAGCACAATGTACAATACTGATTTTCATCCCTATGATTATTTTCATGCTGCTAATTGAAGGATATGATCATCCTACAAAATTTTTGCATTTACAAGTATGAATTTCAACGTCATTTCTGTTATGATTCTTTTTGCTAGGCCTTCTCTGTTTTCCTCCCACCCATGGAATATATGAAGTATGCAGCAGGGAAAACTGCTTTGAGTAAGGCAGAAATGATGACCAATCTATGCTCCATCAAATCTGCAGTCAAAATACTGAAAAACAATATCCCCTAAATTTTGGAATAGTAAAATATGATAAATATATTAGGAGGAAAAAAAGTGTGATTTAAATTTGATTATGCTCTTCTAAACACAATAATGACCACAAAAAATCTTTTAAAGAAGTTGTCATAAATTGTGTATTGAATAGACAATTATCAGTGGAAGGGTTGTTTGATAAAGATTTAGTAAAGTCGTTTCCTTTGCCTTTTACTAGAACTTGTAAAAACTATATCTTTAATTCTTAAGTGCCCTTTCTTTCAGACTTTGTCCTCCTGTGGCATGCTTGTCTGGGTTTTAGAGAAGGGGCAAGAGTTGGGGAATGAAGTACATGTTAGTAATTTTCACTACATTGCTCAGTTATAGAGTTATTTCTATACAAGTGAAATGGGGTAAACCATAGGTACCAGTGGAAAATTCAGGGTTTTTAATGCTCTATATCTGTTTTCAGGCACACAGCATTTCCATGTCTTATTATTTCAAGCAAATACAGTAATATACAATTTTTCTAAAAACTCTTTGAGAATTTCTGATGTCTTCTTTCATTTTTCCCCTCTATTTTCCAAAGTGGCCTCCACTTCCCCAGTAATAACAATCGATCGGTGCTACCATCAGCAAAGCTCTTTTCTCTTTATAAATAAGAAGGAATGAACATTTTCCACTGAGACTGACAAGAGTTTGCAGCTGAGGTGAAACAAGGTGGCCACCTTGAAATTGCAAAATGGAAAGTATAACATTCACTTTTAGTTTCTTGTATAGGACAGGCCAAGACATAAAAATGAGAATGAGGAGGGTCAGGAGAGAGTCAGGAGAAAGTTGTCTGTGTTAGTACCTAGCAGACATAGATAGGGGAGATCAAAAGAGACTAGGAAGCAGGTTGGGGTCAAATAGAGAGAGGAGGACTGTGTGGGTAGAAGTCAAGTTGTGAGGGAAAAAACTGGGGGCAGAGAAAGCAGGAGTGCAGGGCAATGTGGTGGGCACGTGGTTGATGGGAAAGACAGGAAAGTGCAGGGAGCAATGGAGCATGTAAAGAGGAGGACAGAAAGTTGGACAGAGGACATCTGCAGAGGACAGAAAGTTGGATACCTGCTTAGGGAGGCAGCAGAAGGGAGCTTACAGCTCCCTTTTCAAATGTCAAAGGGGGACCTCACAACACATGCGTTTGTAACTAAACTGAATTGTAAAACTGAGATGAACACAGTTGAGTTAAGTGCTCCTGTGAAGGAGAAGAATAAACAGGCAGGGGAAAAGCTATAAGCAATTGTAGTTTGAGGGTGTTCTGACTGCTAAATTATTTCTTTTTGTCCTCTTGTTCCCCTTCCCCCCTTTTTTTTAATATCTGGAGTTTACAATAGTCAAAATTCCGCATTGTAGTACAGAATGAGACCCCAAATCTTTTTGTTTTTTCTTTTTGTTTCAAAACCTATTTCTCTTCCTCCTCACTACCTCAGAATTTCAAACTCTTTCATGTTATAACCTTTTTTTTGTTAGAAGGACTGACTAGACAGATTGTTTATCTCTTCCTCACTAGATAAATATCAAATGGATACAAGGCAAAGGTTTTGAAGCCTTTACAAATGATGCATATGATTATGAGTCATTTACTTACAGAGAAGCATAGAGTACATCATTCACTGTAGTTTTACAGAGCAGAAATAAATATACTTGATATTGCTAATGAGCCTAATACTAATTACTTGCATTCACTTTTGTAAACTGGTGTGATACCACTAATACCAATGAGTTCTGATTTTTGCTGGAGTACATATTACCAGAATGACTGCATAATAATATTACATATGTTGATGATTCAAAATGTCCTGTGATTAACAGCAGCAATAAACATGAGAGTGTTGTCCTACCTACTTATTAAAGATAAGTTTATTTTAGTAAAAGTCTTGTCTTTCTAACAATTCCTTCCTCTTGCTTAGCTGGTTCTACATATGGCTGTTAGGGCTCCTTAAATATCACAGTAAGATCTTGTTTACCTGACCCAGACACTTTCTTCAGTCAAGTGTCAAAATCCATAAGTTGATGTGCCAGCTCAGCTTTATTCCCAACAAGTATGTAAAACAGCACAATCTTTTCTCTTTTTATCACACTTACTTGCTTTTTGTTGTAGGGAATTAAGGCCACAGTTTGGTGCAGTTAGCAGAAAATGCAACCAGCTTGTAAAAATGTGATCAAAACTGTATTTTCCCTGCAAAACCATGCTTTGTCCAGCTGCTTCTCCCTGCCCCAAACAGTGAAACAACTGTTCTGCTTGTTTGTGGCTTTAAATGTTCTGCTTCGTCTTCCCTTCCTACCAGCCCGTGGCTCTGCACGTCCTCCTCCCCTACGGGACAGGCCTTTTTTCCTGGCACGTTGCCACCCGCCACCCTCTGCGTGTGCCCAGCCCCAGCATGGGATCCCTGGGGGTTCACGTTGCTCCCTTGCAGGGAAAGAAAGGCTCTGGCTTGGAAAAAAATGCGAATAGGTGCATTATGCCATTTTATAACTCACTGGGTCGTTACCACTGTGAGCTGGCATAAAGGTTAAAGCTGTCCTGAAGCAACTGCAAAGTACATTGGTGTACAGGGCTGGTTGCATGATGTTCCTTCCCCCTTCAGCCGCCAGCTCTTTGGAATCAGAAATAA